TTTTGAGATGGAGTCTCACTCTGTCACCCAGGCTGGGTGCAGTGGCGCAATCTCGGCTCACTGCAACCTCCACCTCCCGGGTTCAAGTGATTCTCCTACCTCAGCCTCCCGAGTAGCTGGGACTACAGGCACGTGTCACCATGCCTGGCTAATTTTTTGTGTTTTTAGTAGAGACGGGGTCTCACCATGTTAGCCAGGATGGTCTTGATCTCCTAATCTTGTGATCTGCCCGCCTTGGCCTCCCAAAGTGCTGGGATTATAGCCACTGCACCTGGCCTCCTTCTTGCTCTTTACTTGGCTGACTCCATCTGATCCTTTGGTCTCTCAAGCATCTTTTCATTTGCCAGGAGGACTTTCTCTGACTTTGGTAGCTGAACTGAGCACTTCTCCTTCTCTTACCAGTCTTATACTCTGTCACCTCACCCTGTTTATTTCCCTTGTGACGTTTACTATACACAGAAACTACCTTCATTTATTTATACTAGTTTATTGTCTGTCCCCTCACTAAAACATAATGACTTTGAAGGCAGAAAAATGGTTTATGTTGTTTACCTCTATAGATGCAGTACTGAACAGTTATTGGCACACAGCAGGTACTCAATAAATAAACACTGAGTGTATGAAAAGAAGAATGAACGAACAAGAGAGAGAATGACACTGAGGGGCTGAAATGGGTCAAAAAGTTCTTAAAGCATTCTGTTCTTGATTCCAGTCTTTTCCGAGTTTGTCTCCAAAATTTACGTCTCAGCCGGGCGCAGTGGCTCATGCCTGTGTTCCAACACTTTGGGAGGCTGAGGCGGGCGAATCATCTGAGGTCAGGAGTTCGAGACCAGCTTGGCCAACATGATGAAACCCCGTCTCTAATAAAAATACAAAAATTTGCTGGGAATGGTGGCGTGTGCCTGTAATCCCAGTTACTCAGGAGTCTAAAGCAGGAGAATTGCTTGAACCTGGGAGGCGGAGGTTGCAGTCAGCCGAGATCATGCCACCGCACTCCAGCCTGGGTGACAAGAGAGAGATCCCATCTTGAAAAACAAAACAAAACAAAACAATTTAGGTCTCCAGCCTTGACTTTCAGATTTGTACAAATGATTTTTAAATATTTCCCCTTTCAAACGTTTCCCCTAGTAAACATACTAGACAACTGAAACTCACCTTTCCCAAAGAGGAATTGTAATTTCTCTTACCAGTCTGATTGTTTCCCAGTCTTTCCCTATTTCCATAAATGTCACTATCTGGCTCTGTTCCTAACTTTAGGTTCTATAGTAGAGTCTTGTGTCCTATACAATAAATTCTCGGTTTTTGTTGAAGCCAGCTTGACTTGTCAACTGGAGAAGGGTGTTCAGAAGCTTATTTTGAACAAACAGAGAAATATAAAGAAAAAAGCAAAAAGTATAATGGAGAAATTCTATCACCTAGAGAAAACATAAACATTGTATTGATCTGCTTTCCAGACAATTTAACTTGAATTAGATAATTCATACTCTGTTCTGTAACATTTCATTTTTAAAAATCACAATAAATGGAGAGCATCTTTCCAATGTCATAGTCTTAAATAGATCTATACAGATTTCATAGCATGCCTATTTTAAGAAATCTGAATAATCACCCCAAAGTTTGTGTACTTTCACATGTTAGACCTAGGATTACAAGTAAATCTCAGGCCAGGCACGGTGGCTCATGTTTGTAATCCCAACACTTTGGGAGGCTGAGGCGGGCGGATCACCTGCAGTCAGGAGTTCGAGACCAGCCTGGCCACATGACAAAAGTTAGCTGGACATGGTAACAGACCCCTGTAATCCGGCTACTCTGGAGGCTGAGACAGGAGAATCACTTGAACCCGGCAGGCGGAGATTCAGTGAGCCAAGATCATGCCACTGCACTCCAGCCTGGGCAAAGCAGAGCAAGACTGTATCTAAAAAAAAAAAAAGTAAATCTCAATTTAGTTTACAAGTAAATCTCCATTTGAAGTACCATACATAGGGTCTGGACACAGTGGCTCATGCCCGTAATCCCAGCACTTTGGGAAGGTGAAATGGGCAGATCACAAGGTCAGGAGTTTGAGACCAGCCTGGCTAACATGGTGAAACCTCATCTCTACTAAAAATACAAAAATTAAATGAGTGTGGTGGCGCATGCCTGTAGTCCCAGCTGCTCGGGAGGCTGAGGCAGGAGAATCGCTGGAGCACAGAAGGTGGAGATTGCAGTGAGCCAAGATTACACCATTGCACTCCAGCCTGGGTGACAGTGTGAGACAGTGTCTCACAAAATAATATGTCTCACAAAATGTCTCAAAAAATAATAATAATAAATAAAATAAATGAAGTAGCATATACAGGTTTACTTAGACACCCAACTTCCTA